GTCCACTCCAGATGGAAATTACACTCCCAAGCTCAAAGTGTACAACTACCCTCAGTCTTTCACTAAAATCCATGAGGGCAAATCTCACTGCAGGACTAAGAAAGAGAAACCCAATCAAGAAAAAGACTGACCAAAGTAAATGTGTCTTACCCTGAAAATGGCAAGAGATCACTCGTGATAGCCGGCCAATAGGAATAAATTCCATAGTAGAGCCTCCCATCCAAAGAGCGCTCTAGTACTAGCCGTCACAGTTTCCATGCTGAGGATCAACTGCTGAACTATTCCTACTGATCCCAGCTATTGCAATGCAGGAGGGACTTCCTCTAAGACTGCCAGGATCTTGACCCTTTAAGTATTTATAAATTATTTAATGCCACCTTATATGGCACCCAGAAGTGAATTGGGAACAAGTGCAAAGAGTACAGAGCAGTGATAGAATGTGCTTTTGGCAGTGTGGCCTAGCAGACAGAGCACTGGACTGGGACTCAGAAGATCTCTGATCTATTCCCAGCTCTGCCCCTGACCTGTTGGGTGACCTTGGGCAAGACACTGTAACTTCTTTGTGGTTCAGTTTCCCCATCTGTAAAATGGGGATAAGGACATTGACATCCTTCATTGGAGAGCATTGAGATCTACTGATAACTAGCTGTAATACAGTGCTTTTCATTATTATTATCCTACTTGCAAGCTAATCAGTGCAAAAGTGGCTATATGCCTTCTGAGCAGTTTATGATGATATATGCTGTAGAGCCATTTGTAGTAGCCTAACCTGGATTTGACAAAGGGTTGGAAAACTATGTCTAGGGCTGTGTCTGAGATGAAATGTCACCAACTCTCAGATTGGACAAAGAAGGAAAACCCACTTTTCAACCATCTCTGCTACCAAGGGACCCAAAAGCAGAAATCAATTCAATGAGATACCACTTTGGCCGCAGTTGGAGAGTACAGGCACAACTCCTGGCAACAAACAGCATCAACTCAGACTTATCTGGATTGAGCCTATGCTAGCTGGATTTCATCCAGGTTCCTATCTTGGCCAGATACCAGCAAATCAAAGAAACAGCAATACCTTCTTTCAGCATGAAATACTGAGGCATAGAGCAATATCCTTAGTATATTGATGGCCCTGTCAAACTGTCTCCCAATCCTCTTTAGCAGCCTCATATGCACATTCAATAAGAGGAGTGATAGTGGAATACTGTGGGAACTCACAGCAGAGACCTTCTTGGGAAGATGAGCAATCGCCCATCATAGCCCACTGGTATCGTTCCAAAAGGGAGGAAAAACAAACACTATAATGTGACCCCATCCACCCCACCCACCACATTCTCAATAACCTTCTGCTAAAAAAGGAAGAATAGAGACTGAGGGAGGGAGCAGAAATAAGTGCTGAAGTCATTAGAATGTTTTTTCTTCAGCAAGGTCAGGTCCACAGTATGCCCAAAGTGTGGTTATAGTCAGAAGAGTGATTGTGTAAAAATGGCAGCTTCGTAATCCAAATATCTGCACCATGTGTACATTTACAGTTCTCTTGGTGACAAAGAGAAGTTTTGTTGGGTGTTGCTGGGTTTTGTTCGTTTGATTGTGGGTTTCTCTCTCTTAACTCCTGGGATACTACAGAGACAACACAGCTGTGAGAGAACAATTTAGATTCTATTTGGACTCACATCAGCAACAGAACTGTTTTCTCACATTCTAACTGTGGAATATCTATTACTGGTGAGGATTCACAAGCCAGAAAGAACACAGCTTGACTACAAGTCCCAGGGTGAGTCTGCTGGGCGGAAAATTTAAAAAAAAAAAATCTGTGTGGTTGTAAATTGAACAGATTTGTTCTGGAGTCACCAGCAGACAACAGTCATGGAATCCCATTTTAAAAGTCACTCTTCAGATTACAACTGTAAAGGCATCATCTTACAACTTGCCTTCAGTACCAAATCCCATTAAAAATGGCCCCGAGCACTCCACACTAACTTCCAGCTTGGATCCATATGCCAGGTAGTTCAATGGACCATCCCCACTAACACATTAAAAAACCTCCATTTGTGACACTAGATGAAACTCATCCAGAAAAGTCAACATATTGTCTCCTTCCTGGTCTGACGCACAACAGTGGAACTAGAAAGTCTGCCCTGGGTCCAGCTGATCCCTCTGTGAAATGGTTGAAAAACTTCTAACAATGAGAAATATTTGAAGATGGAATGGGGTGGAGAGGTATTAATCTGATGGCTAGACACTCTGAACAATCTAAACAGAGCCATGCAGCAGGAGATAGAGAGAAGATTCATAAAGTCTTCCACCCACACTGAGCGATATCAGATAACCTCTTTTCTCCCACCTCACATTCCCCCATCATAAACAGACCTAATATAGGGCTAATCATATTTTGACTTATAAAAGCAACCAACTTAATTACCTCCTGGGTTCAATAACTAGATTCAAAATTTGATAGGAACCCAATGTAAGATGGAAGTTGAAATGCATTTGTTGAATGTATTTCCAATACTGTTAAGAAGTCAGTGGGAGCTGAAAGCACTAATCGGGCATGCAAAGCAGCTTGTCCACAGTTCTCTCAACTGAATTTCTTCTCATAAGACCAAATAAAATGGGGGTTGTTGTTTAGCTCACTATAACAAATAGCTGTAGAGAGATAAAAGTTACACAATTTCTCACTTGTTTAGAAGCCAAATGTTCTATGAATAGATTCAGAAAAATCTAATACCAGGGAATACACCATAAATCCAAAACTCAATCAAATTAATTTCAACTCTTCATAAATTTTGAAGTAACTGCTTTCCAAGAAATAATTTATCCATCCACAAGAATATCACAACAATGTTTTTATTAGGGCTAATACAAGAGAATATCATCTCAAAGATGGGAGAGTTAGTCTAGACACAACACAAGAAAATGCCCAATACATAAATGGATGTTCCTCCAAAAATTCCTGAGAATCTTAACGTGGCCCCTATTTTACTGAAATGTCACTATTTAGACAGTCCATCAAAAATCCCCATTATACTATTTACATATGCAGTGTTTATGGAAAACTATTGTTAGAGTTTCAGATACATGTGCTGTTCACTTCAACTTTGCCTATGTGGCTTCTAACATGTATTTTCAATTAAGACATCACCACATAATTCAGTTATTCCTTTGAAAACTGATTTATTGCATATAAACTCCCCTTAGAATGTTATAACAGACTGTAAGCAGTGTTGTTGTGGACATGTTGGTCAAAGCATATGAGAAAGGCATGGTAGGTGAGGTAATATCTATCTATCTCTCCTTCTGTTGGTAAGAGAGAAGTTTTTGAGCTCACAAAGAGCTCTCCTGCAGGTCTGGGAAAGAGTGTCACAGCGACACAGGTTTCAGGGTAGCAGCCGTGTTAGTCTGTATCCGCAAAAAGAACAGGAGTCCTTGTGGCACCTTAGAGACTAACCAATTTATTTGAGCATAAGCTTTCGTGAGCTACAGCTCACTTCATCAGATGCATTCAGTGGAAAACAGCTACATAGAAAGTGGAACAGCTTGTTTAGCATAAGTAGTTAACACATATTTCAAGGGACCATTCAAGGTGAAATGGCCCATTAATACCCCTCCAGTCATGGGGGGAGAAGGGCAGAAAAAAACAACTACTTATACTAAACAATCTGTTCCACCGTCTCTTTAGCTGTGACACTCTGAGTACCTTTCCCAGAGCTGAAGAAGAGCTCTGTGTAAGCTCAAAAGCTGGTCTCTCTCACCCACAGAAGTTGATCCAATAAAAGATATTAGCTCACCCACCTTGGCCTTGTCTACACTACCACTTTACAGTGCTGAAACTTTCTCGCTTAGGGGTGTGAAAAAACACACCCCTGAGCAATGCAAATTTCAGCACTCTAAAATGGCAGTGTAGATAGTGCACCAGTGCTGGGAGCTACTCCCCTCGGGGGGGGGGGGGGGGTTTACAGCACTGAGAGAGCTCTCTCCCACCCCTGGTGCAGTGACTACACCCGCATCAGCACTTTAAAGTTGGTAGTGAAGACATACCTCTTGTCTCTCTCTAACAACATTAGACTGCATTCTTATGAAGATGACTAGATTAGATTAGATCAGATCCTTAGGAAAACAGCCTTGAGAGTTTTTGCCAACGCGCTCACATGCATTACTTTTGCACTATACTGAACCAATAGGTACATAAAACTTGAATTTTGAGCTGTAATATTGGTAGCCTGAATGGTCACTGAGCACTAAATGGACAATTGCAAAATTACTGGTAACGTAATAACAGCTGGTTTTGGTTCTTTTAATCTTGAAAGTTTCATGGAAACAGAAAGTGAATCAAATGAAAGAACCAAATCTGAAATTGTGCCTGATGGCAGCTCCACCAGAAAACTATAAAAACGGAATTGCAAAGGATTAAAAACCATTGTTGCATTTAATCCTTTCCCCTCATTTCAAACCCACACACATACATGTGAAGGAAAGCACAGCCCTGTAACAGGAGTTTGAAAGAAAAACTACTTACGTAAACATCAACACACTTCATTCATAGTGTAGGTATTTCCAGCCACTGGGAGAGCGATGGCACCAGGACTGGAAGCATTTTGCAATTCTAAACACTTGTTTGTTTTACAACAAAACACGACAAACACTGAGTCAATCCCATATTAAAATCCAAGTAATAAAAACTTGACAAAGTGCAGAGATTGAGGTTTTAAACCTGGGTGGAGGAGCATTATAATCAACCTGGGAAACAGCTGTTGTGTTTCTTTGTGTGCTTTATAATGACCGATGATACAATGCAAGTTTTAGCAGGGGCTTTTTTATGCAAACTTGTATTTAAAAAAAAAGTTATATTTGATCAGAAACTCAAATATGCCTTTCTTATTAACATATATTAAATGTTTTAAGGACACTGTTGAAGATAGAACATGACATCAGCAAAGAACAGTGGAAACATGAGCTTGATTGCCAGTGTCCTAACAAAACACTCAGTAAAATCCTTCCTCATATGAAAGACACAATAAAACCTGCCTTCAAATCCATTCAAATCATGGGAGACTCCCTTCCAATGAGTCTGTGGGGCTAATCCACACTCACTGCCCTCAAAGAGCCCTGCTGCTGCCAAGCTCCATGTAAGTAGCCATCCCCTTCCCTTGCAGAGTCCATGTCCATCTCACTTCACTGTGCTGGCTACGCATGATAAGCACGTGCAACAGGCACAGAGGCCCAGCACCGCTGACAGTGCTGCCGAGATCCGCGACTGGCGCTCGTACTTCAGGGCTTTCTTCACCTCCTCGTTGGACTGGGACACGTAATCAAGCGTATGCAGGACGTTGTACTCAATGTTGTTGATGACCTCGTGCTGCTCAGAAACCAGCACCTCCAAGTGCAGGAAAAGCGAGTGCAGCTCACTGATCTGGACCTCTAGGTCCAACAGTTGTTGGTGGCGTACTTGGGCCATGGCCAAGTGCTGCTTGGCCTTGAGCACTTCCAGGTCCTGGCCCACAATCTGAGGAGCAACAGGGCTTTCCACTAGGTGATTAATGTCCTCTTCACATAAGCTCAAGCCCGCCAGCTCGGTTTGCCTCATGATCTGCTCCTTCAGCTTCTCCACGTACTCCATCTCCTTGGCATAATGGTGAGTGATGATGTCTCGGTACCGGCTGATTAGGACAGAGAGCTGGCTCTGGTGGATGCGGTATCCTGCCAGCCACTGTTTGCTGTCTCGGGCCAGTGTGTCTTGAATCCCATAGAGCTGAGGCTGGATGACTTTAGCCTGACTAGTGAAGGAGGCTTTAATGTTACTTAGCTCTTTCTTTTCTTCATAAACGCTCTCCTCGGTGGTGCAGCACAGCACCCGCTGCTGCTTCTTGTGGATGCTCTCCGATAACTCCTCCAGTTTACTCAGGCCCAGTGAGAGATCCGACACTTCCTGGAATATCTTGCTTATGGGATTGGTCTCATCCTCCTTGAAAACCGGGTTATCAAATGAGAGAGTATCATCAATATCCAAAGAGTCCTCATCTTCATTAACTCGGATCCTCAATTCCTCCAGCCTGTCCTTCATCTTCAGCTCCAGCTGCTGGCAACATCTGTGGCAGAGGGACACAAAATGCACACATCAACTCTGTAAAGAAGTCAGAGAGAGTTAGGATCTTTTGCGTCAGTGAAGCTGTTAAAATCTTCCCTCCCAGAGCTAGAGCAAATATTGACCAAGGCAATAGGCTTACCCAGAGTTTACTCTGCATCACATGGCTAACTAATACCGGCTAGGTTAGATTGCATGCCAACAGTGGGCGGCACACTTCACTGCTATACAGAAACTGCAGGAACCAACTTTGTAAGAACAATCAAAGGGAAACGTTAAGGAAAGAGAAGAGTGTATGGTCAGCTAACCTGATAACAAGGTGACAGAATGCTAGTTCTGAAAAAACCACAGCGCTCTGATCAGATACAAGAAAAACCAGAATTCACATAAATGCCATCATACAAAACTCTTTGACTTTCAAAGTATAGGATCAAATAATGATGTGGCTGCTGGGATTGTCTGGAATCTGATTGTTCTGGAATTAGCAATCCGAATATGTTTGTCAAGAAAAAATCATCACTAAAAGTCTGATTCCCTCCAGTCATAAATAACTGTATTATGCCATGGGGTCATGTTTAAGAGAAGCAAGAAAAAGCAGTGGAGAAGCATACCAATCTATTGAGGGATAGGGAGAAAGACTAGAGACATGTTTATGAGGCCTGGTCTAAACTGGAAACTTACATAGGTGCATCTATGTCTCTCAGAGGTGTGAAAAATCCACACCCCTCAGAGACAGCTATACTAACTAGCACTAGGTCAAGGGAAGAATTCTTCCATCAGCCTAACTACAGCCTCTCTGGGAGGTTAATTACCTACACCGATGGGAGAACACCTCCTGTTGGCATAGGTAATGTCTACACTGAAGAACTACAGGGGCGCAGCTGCAGCTGCACCCCTGTAAGGTTTTAAATGTAGACATACCCTAAGGTTGCACTTCCTCTATAAAGCCTACCCTGGAGGACTTCATTCAGTCTTGATGCACTAAGGGTTAAGACTTAGTGCAGAGAGTTAGTTAGATGCCTCTTTCGCTTTTCCACGGAGTACATTCTATCCATGTCATTTTAGCAAAGTTCACCTGACATCATTGCCTATTGACTTCTCCTGTTACATTTTCTTGTGCCATAAAGTCATGTGACAGGAGTTAATTCCCTCTTTCTGTAAATATTCTTTAAACGGTGTGTTACTTATCGCAGTTAAAGTACTTAAGAGTACCCAGAACAACAACAATGAACAGTTGTGCGTTTCAGAGATCACCAAGTCCCAGGCCAGAACTCTGGCAGCACTCCAGACTCTAAGAGCTCTAACTCAGACTTAGAGAATCAGTTTTTTCTTTAGTGCATGGATAATTTTCTGTGTTTCATTCTATGGGTTATGGCTCAGAGTTTATGATTGTTGGTTTCAGTGACACCAGTGAACTGGTTTCAGAGTAGCAGCCGTGTTAGTCTGTATTCGCAAAAAGAAAAGAAGTACTTGTGGCACCTTAGAGACTAAAAAATTTATTTGAGCATAAGCTTTCGTTAGCTACAGCTCACTTCATCAGATGGTATCAGTTTAACTGTCATTTAACAGGCTCATAGTAAGTCACAAAATGAAATCATAACTTTGCATTTCTATATTGCCTGTCATCAGAAGATGTTAGGGCAGTTTACAAATATTAATTAATTAAAGTCCTGATCCAAAGCCCACTGATGTCAACTACCATTCAAAACACCCCTGGAAAAATATGCAAATGGTATTAGACTTACTTAAAAGATGGATAAACTGAGACGCAGCAAAGTTAAATGACTTACCCAGCGAGTACTGCAGATCAAGAGTCCTGGCTCTCATTCACCTCGTCTAACCACCTACAATCTCTCTCTCTCTCTCTCTGCCAAATCCTTGACTTTCTGCTGAGCTAGAATGCTATGGGCCACAGTCTGATCTCATTTACACCTGTGCAAACCTGAATTAGCTCCATTGCAATCAGTTACATCTATTTTACACTAGTGTGGCAGAGAGCAGAATTTGGCCCTGTAAATCTAGCAACCCAATGAGAAAAATAAAACCCTTTATCACCAGTCTTGGCAACTCTAGTTCAACTCTACTTGAACTCTATATTTTGCGTCATTGTGGTACTTGTGCTGATATTTCCTGTTTTCTATGAAGGATAAATACATATTTAATATATGCTGAAAGGGGCAATTTAAACTTTTGGTAAGATGCACCATTACTCCTGATAGCAATAGCAAAAAAAATATATATATTTTTAATCACAATAAAAATTAAGGTTAGGACTATTTAACTTTTGACAGGTATCCTAATATTTCTATATGGCTATGATTGACCAGAGATGACTGTTAAAAAAGATAAAGGCATGAATGCACTGAAAGGAAGAACCTGACCCCTTCAAACTAACTGTAATGAGTAATAAAAGTCCATTTATAAACCACATTCATATAATAACCCATCTGAGAGCTATCAATGTGCCTTGAAAAACAGCTCTCAATAATGATATAATTGGAGGGAGGGAAATGACCATATTTCATGACAAACTTTTATTGAAAAGATCAGATTTAGGAAAAATCGCTTGTTTCCTCTACCATTGAAAAAGGCTGAAAGCATTTTAAAAAAGGAGAAATGTTGATGGGATGATAACTGGTAATTATCGGAAATTTCAGAGGATAAGCGCAGAGATTCCAGGTGAAATGGAAGCCCCAGCTCTTTTTAATTCCATGTGTAAATCATTCATAGAATCATAGAATATCAGGGTTGGAAGGGACCCCAGAAGGTCATCTAGTCCAACCCCCTGCTCGAAGCAGGACCAATTCCCAGTTAAATCATCCCAGCCAGGGCTTTGTCAAGCCTGACCTTAAAAACCTCTAAGGAAGGAGATTCTACCACCTCCCTAGGTAACGCATTCCAGTGTTTCACCACCCTCTTCGTGAAAAAGTTTTTCCTAATATCCAATCTAAACCTCCCCCACTGCAACTTGAGACCATTACTCCTCGTTCTGTCATCTGCTACCATTGAGAACAGTCTAGAGCCATCCTCTTTGGAACCCCCTTTCAGGTAGTTGAAAGCAGCTATCAAATCCCCCCTCATTCTTCTCTTCTGCAGGCTAAACAATCCCAGCTCCCTCAGCCTCTCCTCATAAGTCATGTGTTCCAGACCCCTAATCATTTTTGTTGCCCTTCGCTGGACTCTCTCCAATTTATCCACATCCTTCTTGTAGTGTGGGGCCCAAAACTGGACACAGTACTCCAGGTGAGGCCTCACCAATGTCGAATAGAGGGGAACGATCACGTCCCTCGATCTGCTCGCTATGCCCCTACTTATACATCCCAAAATGCCATTGGCCTTCTTGGCAACAAGGGCACACTGCTGACTCATATCCAGCTTCTCGTCCACTGTCACCCCTAGGTCCTTTTCCGCAGAACTGCTGCCTAGCCATTCGGTCCCTAGTCTGTAGCTGTGCATTGGGTTCTTCCGTCCTAAGTGCAGGACCCTGCACTTATCCTTATTGAACCTCATCAGATTTCTTTTGGCCCAATCCTCCAATTTGTCTAGATCCCTCTGTAACCTATCCCTGCCCTCCAGCGTATCTACCACTCCTCCTAGTTTAGTATCATCCGCAAATTTGCTGAGAGTGCAATCCACACCATCCTCCAGATCATTTATGAAGATATTGAACAAAACCGGCCCCAGGACCGACTCTTGGGGCACTCCACTTGATACCGGCTGCCAACTAGACATGGAGCCATTGATCACTACCCGTTGAGCCCGACAATCTAGCCAGCTTTCTACCCACCTTATAGTGCATTCATCCAGCCCGTACTTCCTTAACTTGCTGACAAGAATACTGTGGGAGACCGTGTCAAAAGCTTTGCTAAAGTCAAGAAACAATACATCCACTGCTTTCCCTTCATCCACAGAACCAGTAATCTCATCATAAAAGGCGATTAGATTAGTCAGGCATGACCTTCCCTTGGTGAATCCATGCTGGCTGTTCCTGATCACTTTCCTCTCATGCAAGTGCTTCAGGATTGATTCTTTGAGGACCTGCTCCATGATTTTTCCAGGGACTGAGGTGAGGCTGACTGGCCTGTAGTTCCCAGGATCCTCCTTCTTCCCTTTTTTAAAGATTGGCACTACATTAGCCTTTTTCCAGTCATCCGGGACTTCCCCGGTTCGCCACGAGTTTTCAAAGATAATGGCCAATGGCTCTGCAATCACAGCCGCCAATTCCTTCAGCACTCTCGGATGCAACTCGTCCGGCCCCATGGACTTGTGCACGTCCAGCTTTTCTAAATAGTCCCTAACCACCTCTATCTCCACAGAGGGCTGGCCATCTCTTCCCCATTTTGTGATGCCCAGCGCAGCAGTCTGGGAGCTGACCTTGTTAGTGAAAACAGAGGCAAAAAAAGCATTGAGTACATTAGCTTTTTCCACATCCTCTGTCACTAGGTTGCCTCCCTCATTCAGTAAGGGGCCCACACTTTCCTTTGTATCACATTGTATCTGATCATACAGATTTTATGTGACTAGTTCATTTCTGCTGTAATATCACTGAAGTAACAATAACAAGTATTATTTTGCATATTGCAGGTGTGCTCACAATGTGCTATGCACTTTCCAGACATAGGAACACATATTTCCTACCCCTTATATAACACTTTTCATCCACAGGTCTCAAAGCACCTTGCAAAATATTAGTATACCAATTGCTGAAATAAGGAAACTGAGTCACAGAGCGATTAAGGTCTCAATCCTGCAAGGTACTAAGCATTTTAGTCCCAACTCAGCAAAGTATTTATGCATGTGCTTAACACTAAGCACATGACTAGTCCTACAGTGGTTTGCTTTGTTGGATTGGAGCCAAAGTACTAGGCAGGCACCTTGCAGAATCAAGCCCTCATTGACTTGCCCACAGTCACATAGATACAGAGCCAGCAAAGCACTTTAAGCACGATTAATTTTAAACACAACTAGTCCCACTAACTTCAATTGGAA